AAACAAAACAACAACAACAACAACAGAAACAACAGCAGCAGCAGCAGCAGAAACAACACCAACAGCAGCAGTAGCAGCAACAGCAGCACCCAGCAGAAACAACAACAACAACAACAACAACAACAACAACAACACCCGTCGCACCAAGCACACGGCCCGTACCTCCTGCATCAACCTCAGGTCGTGGAGAGTCTTGCCCCACGTCAGCGTCCCGCACTCCTGGTCCGGGCACCTCAGCGTCCGGTGCATGCTCTTCCCGTTGCGCCCGTGCTTCAGCAACCTAACCCCCTCGTCGCTCAACAATCTCGCGGTGAGGTATGCCCTGGCGTTCTCCATCCGCACAGCCGTGGCCTGCCTTCGAGCGAGCTCCGCCTGCACATGTGTAATTGTACGGGTGTCATTGCTGTTAGCATCAACCGCGCTAGCCTGTTGAACAAGACTTCCGCCTGTGTATGCGTATGGGTGTCTTTGCTGTTAGCATCAACCCTAACCCTAACGGCGGCAACCGGTTGACCGATCCAAAAGAGGCCACGGCTCGAACCCGTCTGGGCTAAGCACGACACGGTCAAGTCAACAACAACAACAAAAAAAATCCCGTCGTACGCCTGCTGAGGTCTTCCGCACCCAAACTACATCGACTCTTTCAGTCGAAGTTATCCATGGGTGCACAAAACATAAACATGCCTTCCTCCAGCACCAAAACCCCTCCTCCTCCTCCTCTCCCTCCCTTGTTGAACTCTCTCGTCCTGCAGCAGGCAGGTTGGTCGGTGGTCTCAAGACCACATGGTTTGTCCCCCGGAGACAGGCATCAACTTCTTTTTTCTGTCTTTCGAATCACCTTATTTTTATGAATCATCGTCCTTGGAATCACCTTCTCCCATAAATCAGCCGTCTTTCGAATCGTCTTCCCTTGTTCCGAATCACCTTCTTGTACGACGCATCGTCTTTCGAATCGTCGTCTTCTTTTCTTTAGAATCACTCACCTCTTCTTGGGCGATCCGCCGCACCGCCGCTGCCTCCTCCAACGCTTTCGATCCCGCCTGCTCCTTCATTTTCTGGCGACAGGGGGCAGGGGGGGGGGGGGGGGGGGGGGGGGGCCCCCCCAAAGGGGAAATTTGAGGAAAAAACCCCCCCGGGGGGGGGGGGTTTTTTTCCCCCCCCAAAAAATTTTAAAAAACAAAAAAACAAAAAAAAAAAACCCCACCTACCTCCATAAAGGGCGAAAAAAAAACCCCCCCAAAAAAAACCCTCCCAACAAACCAAAAAAAAAACACACCCCCCCCCCCTTTTTAAAAAACCCCCAGGAAACGCTAAAAATACTTTTAACTTTTTAAAAACAAAATTTCTCCATTTAAAAAAAAATTCAGCACCCCCAAAAACCTTTCCCCCCCT